TGAGTGAGTAGGTGAGTGAGTAGGTGAGTAGGTGAGTGAGTAGGTGAGTGAGTAGGTGAGTGAGTGAGTAGGTGAGTAGGTGAGTGTGTAGGTGAGTGAGTAGGTGAGTGAGTAGGTGAGTAGGTGAGTGTGTAGGTGAGTAGGTGAGTGAGTAGGTGAGTGAGTAGGTGAGTAGGTGAGTGAGTAGGTGAGTGAGTAGGTGAGTGAGTGAGTAGGTGAGTAGGTGAGTGTGTAGGTGAGTGAGTAGGTGAGTAGGTGAGTGAGTGAGTAGGTGAGTGACTAGGTGAGTGAGTAGGTGAGTGAGTAGGTGAGTGAGTAGGTGAGTGAGTAGGTGACTGAGTAGGTGAGTGAGTAGGTGAGTGAGTAGGTGAGTGAGTAGGTGAGTGAGTGAGTAGGTGAGTAGGTGAGTGTGTAGGTGAGTGAGTAGGTGAGTAGGTGAGTGTGTAGGTGAGTAGGTGAGTGAGTAGGTGAGTGAGTAGGTGAGTGAGTAGGTGAGTAGGTGAGTGAGTAGGTGAGTGAGTAGGTGAGTGAGTGAGTAGGTGAGTAGGTGAGTGTGTAGGTGGTGAGTAGGTGAGTAGGTGAGTGAGTGAGTAGGTGAGTGACTAGGTGAGTGAGTAGGTGAGTGAGTAGGTGAGTGAGTAGGTGAGTGAGTAGGTGAGTAGGTGAGTAGGTGAGTGAGTAGGTGAGTGAGTAGGTGAGTAGGTGAGTGAGTAGGTGAGTAGGTGAGTAGGTGAGTGAGTAGGTGAGTGAGTAGGTGAGTAGGTGAGTGTGTAGGTGAGTAGGTGAGTAGGTGAGTGAGTAGGTGAGTAGGTGAGTAGGTGAGTGAGTAGGTGAGTAGGTGAGTGAGTAGGTGAGTAGGTGAGTGAGTAGGTGAGTGAGTAGGTGAGTGAGTAGGTGAGTAGGTGAGTAGGTGAGTGAGTGAGTAGGTGAGTAGGTGAGTAGGTGAGTAGGTGAGTGAGTGTGTAGGTGAGTGAGTAGGTGAGTAGGTGAGTGAGTGAGTAGGTGAGTGACTAGGTGAGTGAGTAGGTGAGTGAGTAGGTGAGTGAGTAGGTGAGTGAGTAGGTGAGTAGGTGAGTAGGTGAGTGAGTAGGTGAGTGAGTAGGTGAGTAGGTGAGTGAGTAGGTGAGTAGGTGAGTAGGTGAGTGAGTAGGTGAGTGAGTAGGTGAGTAGGTGAGTGTGTACGTGAGTAGGTGAGTAGGTGAGTGAGTAGGTGAGTAGGTGAGTAGGTGAGTGAGTAGGTGAGTAGGTGAGTGAGTAGGTGAGTAGGTGAGTGAGTAGGTGAGTGAGTAGGTGAGTGAGTAGGTGAGTAGGTGAGTAGGTGAGTGAGTGAGTAGGTGAGTAGGTGAGTAGGTGAGTGAGTGAGTAGGTGAGTGAGTAGGTGAGTAGGTGAGTGAGTGAGTAGGTGAGTGACTAGGTGAGTGAGTAGGTGAGTGAGTAGGTGAGTGAGTAGGTGAGTGAGTAGGTGAGTAGGTGAGTAGGTGAGTGAGTAGGTGAGTGAGTAGGTGAGTAGGTGAGTGAGTAGGTGAGTGAGTAGGTGAGTGAGTAGGTGAGTAGGTGAGTGTGTAGGTGAGTAGGTGAGTAGGTGAGTGAGTAGGTGAGTAGGTGAGTAGGTGAGTGAGTAGGTGAGTAGGTGAGTGAGTAGGTGAGTAGGTGAGTGAGTAGGTGAGTGAGTAGGTGAGTGAGTAGGTGAGTAGGTGAGTAGGTGAGTGAGTGAGTAGGTGAGTAGGTGAGTGAGTGAGTAGGTGAGTGAGTAGGTGAGTAGGTGAGTGAGTGAGTAGGTGAGTAGGTGAGTAGGTGAGTGAGTGAGTAGGTGAGTGAGTAGGTGAGTAGGTGAGTGAGTGAGTAGGTGAGTAGGTGAGTAGGTGAGTGAGTAGGTGAGTGAGTAGGTGAGTAGGTGAGTGAGTAGGTGAGTGTGTAGGTGAGTAGGTGAGTAGGTGAGTGAGTAGGTGAGTGAGTAGGTGAGTAGGTGAGTGAGTAGGTGAGTAGGTGAGTGAGTGAGTAGGTGAGTAGGTGAGTGAGTAGGTGAGTAGGTGAGTGAGTGAGTAGGTGAGTAGGTGAGTGAGTAGGTGAGTGAGTAGGTGAGTAGGTGAGTGAGTAGGTGAGTGTGTAGGTGAGTAGGTGAGTAGGTGAGTGAGTAGGTGAGTGAGTAGGTGAGTGAGTAGGTGAGTAGGTGAGTGAGTAGGTGAGTAGGTGAGTGAGTGAGTAGGTGAGTAGGTGAGTGAGTAGGTGAGTAGGTGAGTGAGTGAGTAGGTGAGTAGGTGAGTAGGTGAGTGAGTAGGTGAGTGAGTAGGTGAGTGAGTAGGTGAGTGTGTAGGTGAGTAGGTGAGTAGGTGAGTGAGTAGGTGAGTGAGTAGGTGAGTAGGTGAGTGAGTAGGTGAGTGAGTGAGTAGGTGAGTAGGTGAGTGAGTAGGTGAGTAGGTGAGTGAGTGAGTAGGTGAGTAGGTGAGTGAGTAAGTGAGTAGGTGAGTGAGTAGTTGAGTAGGTGAGTAGGTGAGTGAGTAGGTGAGTAGGTGAGTAGGTGAGTGAGTAGGTGAGTAGGTGAGTAGGTGAGTGTGTAGGTGAGTAGGTGAGTGAGTAGGTGAGTGACTAGGTGAGTAGGTGAGTAGGTGAGTGAGTAGGTGAGTAGGTGAGTGAGTAGGTGAGTAGGTGAGTGTGTAGGTGAGTGAGTTGGTGAGTGTGTAGGTGAGTGAGTAGGTGAGTGTGTAGGTGAGTGAGTAGGTGAGTAGGTGAGTGAGTAGGTGAGTAGGTGAGTGAGTAGGTGAGTAGGTGAGTGTGTAGGTGAGTGAGTAGGTGAGTAGGTGAGTAGGTGAGTAGGTGAGTGAGTAGGTGAGTAGGTGAATGAGTAGGTGAGTGTGTAGGTGAGTGAGCAGGTGAGTGAGTAGGTGAGTGAGTAGGTGAGTAGGTGAGTGAGTAGGTGAGTGACTAAGTGAGTGAGTAGGTGAGTGAGTGAGTTGGTGAGTGTGTAGGTGAGTAGGTGAGTGAGTAGGTGAGTGACTAAGTGAGTGAGTAGGTGAGTGAGTGAGTAGGTGAGTGAGCAGGTGAGTGAGTAGGTGAGTGAGTAGGTGAGTAGGTGAGTGAGTAGGTGAGTGACTAAGTGAGTGAGTAGGTGAGTGAGTGAGTTGGTGAGTGTGTAGGTGAGTAGGTGAGTGAGTAGGTGAGTGACTAAGTGAGTGAGTAGGTGAGTGAGTGAGTAGGTGAGTGAGTAGGTGAGTGAGTAGGTGAGTAGGTGAGTGAGTAGGTGAGTGAGTAGGTGAGTGAGTAGGTGAGTAGGTGAGTGAGTAGGTGAGTGACTAAGTGAGTGAGTAGGTGAGTAGGTGAGTAGGTGAGTGAGTAGGTGAGTGAGTAGGTGAGTAGGTGAGTGAGTAGGTGAGTGAGTAGGTGAGTGAGTAGGTGAGTAGGTGAGTGAGTAGGTGAGTGACTAAGTGAGTGAGTAGGTGAGTAGGTGAGTAGGTGAGTGAGTAGGTGAGTAGGTGAGTAGGTGAGTGAGTAGGTGAGTAGGTGAGTAGGTGAGTAGGTGAGTGAGTAGGTGAGTGAGTAGGTGAGTGAGTAGGTGAGTGAGTAGGTGAGTGAGTAGGTGAGTGAGTAGGTGAGTAGGTGAGTGAGTAGGTGAGTGAGTAGGTGAGTGAGTGAGTAGGTGAGTGAGTAGGTGAGTGAGTAGGTGAGTGAGTAGGTGAGTGAGTAGGTGAGTGAGTAGGTGTGTAGGTGAGTGAGTAGGTGAGTGAGTAGGTGAGTAGGTGAGTGAGTAGGTGAGTGAGTTGGTGAGTAGGTGAGTGAGTTGGTGAGTAGGTGAGTAGGTGAGTAGGTGAGTGAGTAGGTGAGTGAGTAGATGAGTGAGTGAGTTGGTGAGTGTGTAGGTGAGTGAGTAGGTGAGTAGGTGAGTAGGTGAGTGAGTAGGTGAGTGAGTTGGTGAGTACACACCCAGTAAGGGAGGTAACATTTTCCCTCGTCGGCGATGAACTCCAGCACGCCGCTGTGAGTGAGTAGGTGAGTAGGTGAGTAGGTGAGTGAGTAGGTGAGTAGGTGAGTGAGTAGGTGAGTAGGTGAGTGTGTAGGTGAGTAGGTGAGTGAGTAGGTGAGTAGGTGAGTGTGTAGGTGAGTAGGTGAGTGAGTTGGTGAGTGCCCACCCAATAAGGGAGGTAACATTTTCCCTCGTCGGCGATGAACTCCAGCACGCCGCTGTGAGTGAGTAGGTGAGTAGGTGAGTGTGTAGGTGAGTAGGTGAGTGAGTAGGTGAGTAGGTGAGTGAGTAGGTGAGTAGGTGAGTGAGTAGGTGAGTAGGTGAGTGAGTAGGTGAGTGAGTAGGTGAGTGAGTAGGTGAGTGAGTAGGTGAGTAGGTGAGTAGTAGGTGAGTAGTAGGTGAGTAGGTGAGTGTGTAGGTGAGTGAGTAGGTGAGTGAGTAGGTGAGTAGGTGAGTGTGTAGGTGAGTAGGTGAGTGAGTAGGTGAGTAGGTGAGTGAGTAGGTGAGTAGGTGAGTGAGTAGGTGAGTAGGTGAGTGAGTAGGTGAGTGAGTAGGTGAGTGAGTAGGTGAGTGAGTAGGTGAGTGAGTAGGTGAGTAGGTGAGTGAGTAGGTGAGTAGGTGAGTAGGTGAGTGAGTAGGTGAGTGCCCACCCAGTAAGGGAGGTAACATTTTCCCTCGTCGGCGATGAACTCCAGCACGCCGCTGTGAGTGAGTAGGTGAGTGAGTGAGTGAGTAGGTGAGTGAGTAGGTGAGTGAGTAGGTGAGTACACACCCAGTAAGGGAGGTAACATTTTCCCTCGTCGGCGATGAACTCCAGCACGCCGCTGTGAGTGAGTAGGTGAGTAGGTGAGTGAGTAGGTGAGTGAGTAGGTGAGTGAGTGAGTGAGTAGGTGAGTGTGTAGGTGAGTGTGTAGGTGAGTAGGTGAGTAGGTGAGTGAGTAGGTGAGTGAGTAGGTGAGTCAGTAGGTGAGTGTGTAGGTGAGTGTGTAGGTGAGTAGGTGAGTAGGTGAGTGAGTAGGTGAGTGAGTAGGTGAGTACACACCCAGTAAGGGAGGTAACATTTTCCCTCGTCGGCGATGAACTCCAGCACGCCGCTGTGAGTGCTGCGATCAGCGCGAGCATTCGTCAGCTTAAACAGCATGGGGTAGGTGATGTTCAGACGGCCTAGAGACACGGGGAGACACGGGGAGACACGGGGAGACACGGGGAGACACGGGGAGACACGGGGAGACAGGGGGAGACAGGGGGAGACAGTGGGAGACAGGGGGAGACACGGGGAGACACGGGGAGACACGGGGAGACACGGGGAGACACGGGGAGACAGGGGGTGAGAAACGGGGAGACACGGGGTGACACGGGGAGATAAGGGGAGACAGGGAGAGACACGGGGAGATACGGGGAGACACGGGGAGACACGGGGGAGACACGGGGAGACACGGGGAGACACGGGGAGACAGTGGGAGACAGGGGGAGACACGGGGAGACACGGGGAGACACGGGGAGACAGTGGGAGACAGGGGGAGACACGGGGAGACACGGGGAGACACGGGGAGACAGGGGGAGACAGGGGGTGACACGGGGAGACACGGGGAGACACAGGGAGACAGTGGGAGACAGGGTGAGACACACACGGAGACACACGGGGAGACACGGGGAGATGGGGTGAGACACACACGGAGACACACGGGGAGACACGGGGAGACAGGGTGAGACACGGGGAGACACGGGGAGACACGGGGAGACAGGGTGAGACACACACGGAGACACGGGGAGACACGGGGAGACAGGGGGAGACACGGGGAGACACGGGGAGACACGGGGAGATAAGGGGAGACACGGAGAGACAGTGGGAGACACGGGGAGACACGGGGTGAGACACGGGGAGACACGGGGAGACACGGGGAGATAAGGGGAGACACGGGGAGACACGGGGAGACACGGGGAGACAGTGGGAGACAGGGGGAGACACGGGGAGACACGGGGAGACACGGGGAGACACGGGGAGACACGGGGTGAGACACGGGGAGACACGGGGAGACACGGGGAGACGCGGGGAGACACGGGGAGACAGGGAGAGACACGGGGAGACACGGGGAGACAGTGGGAGACAGGGGGAGATGCGGGGAGACACGGGGAGACACGGGGAGACACGGGGAGACAGGGGGAGACGCGGGGAGACACGGGGAGACACGGGGAGACACGGGGAGATACGGGGAGACACGGGGAGACACGGGGAGACACGGGGGGGAGACACGGGGGGGAGACACGGGGAGACAGGGAGAGACACGGGGAGATATGGGGAGACACGGGGAGACACGGGGAGACACGGGGAGACACGGGGAGACAGGGGGAGACAGGGAGAGACACGGGGAGATATGGGGATACACGGGGAGACTCGGGGAGACACAGGGAGACACGGGGTGACACGGGGAGACACGGGGAGACACGGGGAGACACGGGGAGACAGGGGGAGACGCGGGGAGACACGGGGAGACATGGGGAGACACGAGGGGACACGGGGAGATACGGGGAGACACGGGGTGAGACACGGGGAGATAGGGGGAGACACGGGGAGACACGGGGAGACACGGGGAGACACGGGGAGACACGGGGAGACACGGGGAGACACGGGGAGACACGGGGAGACACGGGGAGACGCGGGGAGACACGGGGAGACACGGGGAGACGCGGGGAGACACGGGGAGACACGGGGTGAGACACGGGGAGACAGGGGGAGACACGGGGAGACATGGGGAGACACGGGGAGACACGGGGAGACACGGGGGGGAGACACGGGGAGACACGGGGAGACACGGGGAGACGCGGGGAGACACGGGGAGACACGGGGAGACGCGGGGAGACACGGGGAGACAGAGGGAGACACGGGGGGGGAGACACGGGGAGACACGGGGAGACACGGGGGTGAGACACGGGAGTGAGACACGGGGAGACATGGGGAGACACGGGGAGACAGGGAGAGACAGGGGGAGATATGGGGAGACAGGGGGAGACATGGGGGGAGACAGCACTTGCTCCTACAGCCCTGCTAGAGGCTACCTGGGGGAGCTTTGTCTGTGTGTGTGGTGTGTAGTACATAGACACTGCTGCTGCTACTCGCTACCGACAGCACTTGCCCCTACAGCCCTGCTAGAGGCTACCTGGGGGAGCTTTGTCTGTGTGTGTGGTGTGTGTAGTACATAGACACTGCTGCTGCTACTCGCTACTAGCAGCACTTGCCCCTACAGCCCTGCTAGAGGCTACCTGGGGTAGCTTTGTCTGTGTGTGGTGTGTGTAGTACATAGACACCGCTAACAGCACTTGCCCCTACAGCCCTGCTAGAGGCTACCTGGGGGAGCTTTGTCTGTGTGTGGGTCAACTCACTGAGTTGGTCCAGGGCTGATGGCGGCAGAATGACTGCAGGGAATGAAACAACAACAACAACATCATCAGCATCATAATCATCAACATCAACATCATCAGCATCATCATCAACATCATCATCAGCAGCAGCAGCATCATCATCAACATCAACAACATCAGCAACATCATCATCATCAACATCATCATCAACATCAACAACATCATCATCATCATCAACATCATCATCAACATCAACAACAACATCATCATCATCAACATCATCAGCAACATCATCATCAGCATCAACATCATCATCAGCAACATCATCATCATTATCAGCATCAACATCATCATCATCAGCAACATCATCATCAGCATCATCATCAGCATCAACATCATGAGGAACATCATCAGCGAGTGGGTGAGTGAGTGAGTAGATGAGTGAGTGTGTGAGTGAGTGACTGAGTGAGTAGGTGGGTGAGTGAATGAGTGAGTGGGTGAGTGAGTGGGTGAGTGAGTGGGTGAGTGAGTGAGTGGGTGAGTGGGTGAGTGAATGGGTGAGTGAGTGGGTGAGTGAGTGGGTGAGTGGGTGAGTGAGTGGGTGAGTGAGTGAGTAGGTGAGTGAGTGGGTGAGTGAGTGAGTGAGTGGGTGAGTGACTGGGTGAGTGAGTGAGTGGGTGAGTGAGTGGGTGAGTGAGTGGGTGAGTGAGTGGGTGAGTGTGTGAGTGAGTGAGTAGCTGAGTGAGTAGCTGATTGACTGGGTGAGTGACTGGGTGAGTAGCTGAGTGAGTGGGTGAGTGGGTGAGTGAGTGGGTGAGTGAGTGAGTGAGTGGGTGAGTGAGTGAGTAGCTGAGTGAGTAGCTGAGTAACTGGGTGAGTGACTGAGTGAGTACCTGAGTGAGTGGGTGAGTGAGTGAGTGAGTGACTGAGTGACTGGGTGAGTGACTGAGTGAGTAGGTGAGTGACTGGGTGAGTGACTGAGTGAGTAGGTGAGTGACTGGGTGAGTGAGTAGCTGAGTGAGTGGGTGAGTGAGTGAGTGGGTGAGTGAGTGAGTAGCTGAGTGTGTGAGTGAGTGAGTGAGTAGCTGAGTGAGTAGCTGAGTGACTGGGTGAGTGACTGGGTGAGTAGCTGAGTGAGTGGGTGAGTGGGTGAGTGAGTGAGTGAGTAGGTGAGTGACTGAGTGAGTAGGTGAGTGACTGAGTGACTGGGTGAGTGACTGGGTGAGTAGCTGAGTGAGTGGGTGAGTGGGTGAGTGAGTGAGTGAGTAGGTGAGTGACTGGGTGAGTTGCTGAGTGAGTGACTGGGTGAGTGACTGGGTGAGTGAGTGAGTGAGTGACTGGGTGAGTGACCGGGTGAGTAGGTGAGTGAGTGAGTAGGTGAGTGACTGGGTGAGTAGCTGAGTGACTAGGTGAGTAGCTGAGTGAGTAGCTGAGTGACTGGGTGAGTGACTGAGTGAGTGTATGAGTGACTAGGTGAGTAGCTGAGTGAGTAGCTGGGTGAGTAGCTGAGTGAGTAGGTGAGTGACTGGGTGAGTAGCTGAGTGAGTAGGTGAGTGACTAGGTGAGTAGCTGAGTGAGTAGCTGAGTGACTGGGTGAGTGACTGGGTGAGTAGCTGAGTGAGTGGGTGAGTGACTGGGTGAGTAGCTGAGTGAGTAGCTGAGTGAGTGGGTGAGTGAGTGGGTGAGTGAGTAGGTGAGTGAGTGTATGAGTGACTAGGTGAGTAGCTGAGTGAGTAGCTGGGTGAGTAGCTGAGTGACTGGGTGAGTGACTGGGTGAGTAGCTGAGTGAGTAGGTGAGTGACTAGGTGAGTAGCTGAGTGAGTAGCTGAGTGACTGGGTGAGTGACTGGGTGAGTAGCTGAGTGAGTGGGTGAGTGACTGGGTGAGTAGCTGAGTGAGTGAGTGAGTGACTGGGTGAGTGACTGAGTGACTGAGTGAGTGAGTAGGTGAGTGACTGGGTGAGTAGCTGAGTGAGTAGCTGGGTGAGTAGCTGAGTGAGTTGGTGAGTGACTGAGTGAGTGAGTGACTGAGTGAGTGAGTAGGTGAGTGACTAGGTGAGTGACTAGGTGAGTGACTAGGTGAGTAGCTGAGTGACTGGGTGAGTGACTAGGTGAGTAGCTGAGTGACTGGGTGAGTGACTGAGTGAGTGAGTAGCTGAGTGAGTGACTGAGTGAGTGACTGAGTGAGTAGCTGAGTGAGTGGGTGAGTGAGTAGGTGAGTGACTGAGTGAGTGAGTAGGTGAGTGACTAGGTGAGTGACTAGGTGAGTAGCTGGGTGAGTAGCTGAGTGAGTGGGTGAGTGAGTAGCTGAGTGAGTGGGTGAGTGAGTAGCTGAGTGAGTGGGTGAGTGAGTAGCTGAGTGAGTGGGTGAGTGAGTAGCTGAGTGAGTGGGTGAGTGAGTAGCTGAGTTAGTGGGTGAGTGAGTAGCTGAGTGAGTGACTAGGTGAGTAGCTGAGTGAGTGACTAGGTGAGTGACTGAGTGAGTAGCTGAGTGAGTGGGTGAGTGAGTAGGTGAGTGACTGAGTGAGTGAGTAGGTGAGTGACTAGGTGAGTAGCTGAGTGAGTAGCTGAGTGACTGGGTGAGTGACTGAGTGAGTGACTAGGTGAGTAGCTGAGTGAGTGGGTGAGTGACTGAGTGAGTGACTAGGTGAGTAGCTGAGTGAGTGGGTGAGTGACTGGGTGAGTAGCTGAGTGAGTGGGTGAGTGACTGAGTGAGTGACTAGGTGAGTAGCTGAGTGAGTGGGTGAGTGACTGGGTGAGTAGCTGGGTGAGTGGGTGAGTGAGTGGGTGAGTGACTAGGTGAGTGAGTTGGTGAGTGACTGAGTGAGTGAGTGACTGAGTGAGTGAGTAGGTGAGTGACTGGGTGAGTGACTGGGTGAGTAGCTGAGTGAGTGGGTGAGTGACTAGGTGAGTAGCTGAGTGAGTAGCTGAGTGACTGGGTGAGTGACTGGGTGAGTAGCTGAGTGAGTGGGTGAGTGACTGGGTGAGTAGCTGAGTGACTGGGTGAGTGAGTAGGTGAGTAGCTGAGTGAGTAGCTGAGTGAGTAGCTGAGTGAGTGGGTGAGTGACTGGGTGAGTAGCTGAGTGAGTGGGTGAGTGACTGGGTGAGTAGCTGAGTGAGTAGGTGAGTGACTGGGTGAGTAGCTGAGTGAGTAGGTGAGTGACTAGGTGAGTAGCTGAGTGAGTAGCTGAGTGACTGAGTGAGTGACTAGGTGAGTAGCTGAGTGAGTAGGTGAGTGACTGAGTGAGTGTATGAGTGACTGGGTGAGTGACTGAGTGAGTGACTAGCTGAGTGAGTGACTAGGTGAGTGGCCCTCACTCTTTCCACCACGCTCGACGTCCGAGCGCTCGTTGCCAGGGAACATGGAGACAGAGTAGCAGCGGAACTGCGTGGTGAAGCGGCTTGAGAGCGGCCTCAGGAAGGCGTGCTCCAGAACGTTGAACTAGAAACACACAGTGACGTCACACAGTGACGCACAGTGACGTCACACAGTGACACACACAGTGACGTCACACACTGACACACACACACAGTGACACACACAGTGACAAACACACACACAGTGACATACACACACACAGTGACACACACACAGTGACACACACACAGTGACACACACACACACAGTGACACACACACAGTGACACACACACACACAGTGACACACACACACAGTGACACACACACACAGTGACACACACACAGTGACACACACAGTGACACACACACACAGTGACACACACAGTGACACACACAGTGACACACACACAGTGACACACACAGAGTGACACACAGTGACACACACAGTGACACACACACACAGTGACACACACACACAGTGATACACACACACAGTGACACACACAGTGACACACACAGTGACACACACACAGTGACACACACACACACTGACACACACACACAGTGACACACACAGTGACAAACACACACACAGTGACATACACACACACAGTGACACACACACAGTGACACACACACAGTGACACACACACACACAGTGACACACACACAGTGACACACACACACACAGTGACACACACACACAGTGACACACACACACAGTGACACACACACAGTGACACACACAGTGACACACACACACAGTGACACACACAGTGACACACACAGTGACACACACACAGTGACACACACAGAGTGACACACAGTGACACACACAGTGACACACACACACAGTGACACACACACACAGTGATACACACACACAGTGACACACACAGTGACACACACAGTGACACACACACAGTGACACACACACACACTGACACACACACACAGTGACACACACACAGAGTGACACACACACACAGTGACACACACAGTGACACACACAAGTGACACACAGAGTGACACACCCACACAGTGACACAGTGACACACAGTGACACACACAGTGACACACACACAGTGACACACAGTGACACACACAGTGACACACACACACACACAGTGACACACACACATAGTAACACACACACAGTGACACACACAACACAGTGACACACACACAGTGACACACACACACAGTGACACACACACACAGTGACACACACACAGAGTGACACACACACACAGTGACACACACAGAGTGACACACACACACAGTGACACACACACACAAGTGACACACACAGTGACACACACACACACAGTGACACACAGTGACACACACAGTGACACACAAACACACAGTGACACACAGTGACACACACAGTGACACACACACACAGTGACACACACACATAGTAACACACACACAGTGACACACACAACACAGTGACACACACACAGTGACACACACACACAGTGACACACACACAGAGTGACACACACACACAGTGACACACACAGTGACACACACACAGTGACACACACACACAAGTGACACACACACACAGTGACACACACACAGTGACACACACACACAGTGACACACACACACACAGTGACACACACACACAGTGACACACACACACAGTGACACACACACACAGTGACACACACACAGTGACACACACAGTGACACACACAAGTGACACACACACAGAGTGACACACCCACACAGTGACACAGTGACACACAGTGACACACACACAAGTGACACACACACAGTGTCACACAGTGACACACAGTGACACACACACACACAGTGACACACAGTGACACACAGTGACACACACAGTGACACACACACACAGTGACACACACAGTGACACACACACACAGTGACACACACACATAGTAACACACACACAGTGACACACACAACACAGTGACACACACACAGTGACACACACACACACAGTGACACACACACAGTGACACACACACACAGTGACACACACAGAGTGACACACACACACAGTGACACACACACAAGTGACACACAGTGACACACACACACAGTGACACACAGTGACACACACAGTGACACACACACACAGTTACACACAGTGACACACACAGTGACACACACACACACACAGTGACACACACACATAGTAACACACACACAGTGACACACACAGTGACACACACACACACAGTGACACACACACACACACAAGTGACACACACACAGTGACACACACACACACAGTGACACACACACACACACAAGTGACACACACACACAGTGACACACACACAGAGTGACACACACACAGTGACACACACAGTGACACACACACACAGTGACACACACACACACACAAGTGACACACACACACAGTAACACACACACAGTGACACACACACAGAGTGACACACACAGTGACACACACAGTGACACACACACAGTGACACACATACAGTGACACACACACAGAGTGACACACACAGTGACACACACACACAGTGACACACACAGAGTGACACACAGTGACACACACAGTGACACACACACAGTGACACACACACAGTGACACACACACACAGAGACACACACACAGTGACACACACACAGTGACACACACACACAGTGACACACACAGTGACACACACACATTGACACACAGTGACACACACACATTGACACACAGTGACACACACACAGTGACACACACACAGTGACACACACAGTGACACACACACAGTGACACACACAGTGACACACACACATAGTGACACACACACACAGTGACACACACACAGAGTGACACACACACACAGTGACACACACAGTGACACACACACAGAGTGACACACACAGTGACACACACACACAGTGACACACACAGTGACACACACACAGTGACACACACACACAGTGACACACACACACAGTGACACACACACAGTGACACACACACACACACAGCGACACACACAGTGACACACACACAGTGACACACACACAGATAGTGACACACACACACAGTGACACACACACACAGTGACACACACACACACAGTGACACACACAGTGACACACACAGTGACACACACAGTGACACACACACAGTGACACACACACACAGTGACAGTGCTCACCATGGTGACGGCAACGTGGATCTCGAATTTAAAGCCTCGATTAAAGATTTATCGCCCAAAGACCGTGGCGGTGGTGATGATGGGTGGTGGTGGTGATGGTGACTACGCTGAATACCCGCTCCAAGATTTATCGCCCAAAGACCGTGGCGGTGGTGATGATGATGGGTGGTGATGGTGGTGGTGAGGCTGGCGATTCCTTCCTGAAGGTTTATCGACCAGAGGCCGACGTGGTGATGATGGCTCGTGATTTTTGGTGATTCCCCGCTCTCACTGTACGGCTCCTCGCTACTGTACACACGGAGCGGAAGTGAAGCGCGCAGCCAGAACTACTTCCGGTGAGGTGGCTGCTGTACGTGGTGACGTCACGACGCACGGGGCCGGCTCGTTGCGTGGCGACGTCACCGCGCGCGGTGGGTGGGCGGTTCTTACGCGGCGACGTCACATCGCACGAACGACAGCCGACTGTTCCCGAGGTGACGTCACGACGCACGATGAGGCTCGTGCGTGTCGATGTCACGACGGCGCACGGGGGAGTGGGGTGGGGCTTGTACGCGGTGACGTCACACCACAAAGGGTGAGGCCGACGGTGTACGCGGTGACGTCACTACGCACGGGGAGGCACGTGATCGATGACGTTCCCAGCAATTAACACTGAATTCTAGAATTAACACTGAGCCTCAGTCTGGCTCTGTGAGTCTCAGTGATTAACACTGAACCCTGTGGGAGCCTTAGTCTGGCTCTGTGAGTCTCAGTGATTAACACTGAACCCTGTGGGAGCCTTAGTCTGGCTCTGTGAGTCTCAGTGATTAACACTGAACCCTGTGGGAGCCTTAGTCTGGCTCTGTGAGTCTCAGTGATTAACACTGAACCCTGTGGGAGCCTTAGTCTGGCTCTGTGAGTCTCAGTGATTAACACTGAACCCTGTGGGAGCCTCATTCTGGCTCTGTGAGTCTCAGTGATTAACACTGAACCCTGTGGGAGCCTCAGTCTGGCTCTGTGAGTCTCAGTGATTAACACTGAACCCTTTGGGAGTCTTAGTCTGGCTCTGTGAGCCTCAGTGATTAACACTGAACCCTGTGGGAGCCTCAGCCTGGCTCTGAGTCTCAGTAATTAACACTGAACCCTGTGGGAGCCTCAGTCTGGCTCTGAGCCTCAGTGATTAACACTGAACACTGTGGGAGCCTCAGTCGGGCTCTGTGAGCCTCAGTGATTAACACTGAACCCTGTGGGAGCCTTTGTCTGGCTCTGTGAGTCTCAATGATTAACACTGAACCCTGTGGGAGCCTCAGTCTGGCTCTGTGAGCCTCAGTGATTGACACTGAACCCTGTGGGAGCCTTAGTCTGGCTCTGTGAGCCTCAGTGATTAACACTGAACCCTGTGAGTCTCAGTGATTAACACTGAACCCTGTGGGAGCCTCAGTCTGGCTCTGTGAGTGTCAGTGATTAACACTGAACCCTGTGGGAGCCTCAGTCTGGCTCTGTGAGTCTCAGTGATTAACACTGAACCCTGTGGGAGCCTCAGTCTGGCTCTGTGAGCCTCAGTGATTAACACTGAACCCTGTGGGAGCCTCAGCCTGGCTCTGAGTCTCAGTGATTAACACTGAACCCTGTGGGAGCCTCAGTCTGGCTCTGAGTCTCAGTGATTAACACTGAACCCTGTGGGAGCCTCAGTCTGGCTCTGTGAGTCTCAGTGATTAACACTGAACCCTGTAGGAGTCTCAGTCTGGCTCTGTGAGTCTCAGTGATTAACACTGAACCCTGTGGGAGCCTCAGTCTGGCTCTGTGAGTCTCAGTGATTAACACTGAACCCTGTGGGAGCCTCAGTCTGACTCCGTGAGTCTCAGTGATTAACACTGAACCCTGTGGGAGCCTCAGTCTGGCTCTGTGAGTGTCAGTGATTAACACTGAACCCTGTGGGAGCCTCAGTCTGGCTCTGTGAGTCTCAGTGATTGACACTGAACCCTGTGGGAGCCTCAGTCTGGCTCTGTGAGTCTCAGTGATTGACACTGAACCCTGTGGGAGCCTCAGTCTGGCTCTGTGAGTCTCAGTGATTAACACTGAACCCTGTGGGAGCCTCAGCCTGGCTCTGAGTCTCAGTGATTAACACTGAACACTGTGGGAGCCTCAGTCTGGCTCTGTGAGCCTCAGTGATTAACACTGAACCCTGTGGGAGCCTCAGCCTGGCTCTGAGTCTCAGTGATTAACACTGAACCCTGTGGGAGCCTCAGTCTGGCTCTGAGTCTCAGTGATTAACACTGAACCCTGTGGGAGCCTCAGTCTGGCTCTGTGAGTCTCAGTGATTAACACTGAACCCTGTAGGAGTCTCAGTCTGGCTCTGTGAGTCTCAGTGATTAACACTGAACCCTGTGGGAGCCTCAGCCTGGCTCTGAGTCTCAGTGATTAACACTGAACCCTGTGGGAGCCTCAGTCTGGCTCTGTGAGTGTCAGGCTCTGGTTGCGTGCTCACTTAGGGGGTGACGCAGTCCTTACGAGTCTCGACTTGCAAGAGGATTCCTACAACCACGAACAGCAACAACAGCAGCAGCAACAACAACACTCAGTCACTCACTCGCTCGGCCACTCACTCACTCAGCCAGTCACTCACTCGGCCAGTCACTCACTCGGCCACTCACTCACTCGGCCACTCACTCACTCGGCCAGTCACTCACTCAGCCACTCACTCACTCAGCTACTCATACACTCAGCCACTCACTCACTCAGTCACTCACTCACTCAGCTACTCACTCACTCAGCCACTCACTCACTCAGTCACTCACTCACTCAGCTACTCACTCGCTCAGCCACTCACTCACTCAGCCACTCACTCACTCAGCTACTCACTCACTCAGCCACTCACTCACTCAGCCACTCACTCAGCCACTCTCTCACACAGCCACTCACTCACTCGGTGACTCACTCACTCAGCCACTCACTCACTCAGCCACTCACTCACTCAGCCACTCACTCACTCAGCTACTCACTCACTCAGCTACTCATACACTCAACCACTCACTCACTCAGCCACTCACTCACTCGGTGTCTCACTCACTCAGCCACTCACTCACTCAGCTACTCACTCACTCAGCTACTCATACACTCAGCCACTCACTCAGTCACTCACTCACTCAGCTACTCACTCGCTCAGCCACTCACTCACTCAGCCACTCACTCACTCGGTGACTCACTCACTCAGCCACTCACTCACTCAGCTACTCACTCACTCACTCAGCTACTCACTAACTCGGCCACTCACTCAGCCACTCACTCAGCTACTCACTCACTCAGCTACTCATACACTCAGCCACTCACTCAGTCACTCACTCAGTCACTCCCTCACTCAGCTACTCACTCGCTCAGCCACTACTCACTCAGCTACTCACTCGCTCAGCTAATCACTCAGCCACTCACTCACTCATCTACTCACTCACTCAGCCACTCACTCACTCAGCTACTCATACACTCAGCCACTCACTCAGCCACTCACTCACTCAGCTACTCACTCACTCAGCTACTCACTCACTCAGCTACTCACTCGGCGACTCACTCACTCAGCCACTCACTCACTCAGCTACTCACTCACTCACTCAGCCACTCACTCACTTAGCCACTCACTCACTCAGCCCCTCAATCACTCACCCCCTCACCCACCCACTCACCCACCCACCCACTCACCCACTCACTCACCCACTCACCCACCCACTCACCCACCCACTCACTCACTCACCCACCCACTCACCCCCTCACCCACCCACCACTCACTCATCCACTTACTCACTCACCCACTCACTCACTCACTCACCCACCCACTCACTCACCCACCCACTCACCCACTCACCCACCCACTCACCCACCCACTCACCCACCCACTCACCCACCCACTCACTCACCCACCCACTCACTCACTGACACACCCACTCACTCACTCACTCACCCACCCACCCACTCACTCACCCACCCACTCACCCACTCACCCACTCACTCACCCACTCACTCACCCACCCACTCACTCACCCACCCACTCACCCACTCACCCACACACTCACCCACCCACTCACTCACTCACCCACCCACTCACCCACTCACTCACCCCCTCACCCACTCACTCACCCCCTCACCCACCCACTCACCCACCCACTCACCCACTCACCCACCCACTCACCCACCCACCCCCTCAGCCACCCACTCACCCACCCACCCCCTCACCCACCCACTCACCCACTCACTCAATCACCCACCCACTCACCCACCCACTCACATACTCACTCACCCACTCACCCACTCACTCACCCACTCACCCACCCACTCACCCACTCACCCACCCACTCACTCAATCACCCACCCACTCACCCACCCACTCACTCACCCACTCACCCACCCACCCACTCACTCACCCACTCACCCACTCACTCAATCACCCACCCACTCACCCACCCACTCACACACTCACTCACCCACTCACCCACTCACTCACCCACTCACCCACCCACTCACCCACTCACTCACCCACTCACTCACCCACTCACTCACCCACTCACTCACCCACACACTCACCCACTCACCCACTCACCCACCCACTCACTCACCCACCCACTCACCCACTCACCCACCCACTCACCCACCCACTCACTCACCCACTCACCCACCCACCCACTCACTACACAACAAATCACTCACCGCCTGTCCGCTCTATCGATGTTATCAGCATCTCAGCAATGTGCTGCCGTCCAACCGAGGCGAAAGTGATAAAGCGAAAACGTTGATGCCCAGAGCCGCTAGACGCTTCAAGGAGCGGTTCCCACTATCAGTGTCTCATCAGCAGCGTCACAGCCAATGGGGGGCCTTGAACCATTAGTTCAGTACAAGCAAGAACCTTGGACATGTTTCCACTATCAGTGTCTCATCAGCAGCGTCACAGCCAGAGATGCACTTGAACCATTAGTTCAGGACAAGCAAGCACTCTGGACAAGCTTCCACTATCAGTGTCTCATCAGCAGCGTCACAGCCAATGGGGGGCCTTGAACCATTAGTTCAGTACAAGCAATTATCTGGACAGGTTCCCACTATCAGTGTCTCATCAGCAGCGTCACAGCCGGTGTGGGAGCTTGAACCATTAGTTCAGTACAAGCAATTATCTGGACGGGTTCCCACTATCAGTGTCTCATCAGCAGCGTCACAGCCATTGTGGGTGCTTGAACCATTAGTTCAGTACAAGCAAGATCTCTGTACGGGTTCCCACTATCAGTGTCTCATCAGCAGCGTCACAGCCAATGTTGGGCTTGAACGATTAGTTCAGTACAAGCAATTATCTGGACAGGTTCCCACTATCAGTGTCTCATCAGCAACGTCACAGC